GGTACTTACAGCACTTGGCAAAAAAATATGTAATCTTCAAAAGAGAAGGAATTTACTATTTTGCAGATGCCATGACTGATTAGTGGACAATTATCAGAGCTAATTAGAGGTTCCTGTGAGTTACTTTGAGGGCTAGAGACAAATTAAGTTTTCTAATTATAACCACAATTGTGGACAAGCAGAGATCATTGTTTTTGTTTTTTTGGTTTTTTTTCTTCAAAATACCCCACACTGATTTGTTTGTGCTCCTTCTTTGTAATCATAGAGCGGGGAGTTGCTGCTGCCTCATTCCCTGGACACCTGCCTCCCAACAAAGGATCTTGGTCACCTCCTCCCCCGAGCCCTTTTCTGCGGCATTTAGATTCACCTTTTACTTCTGTGTACCCCCTCTGCTCATTATACAGTTCTCCAGGGATCCAATTTTCCTGAGTTAATCACCCCAGCCTTTTTTAGAAGTCCTTAGATTACCATCCTTTCAAAGAACATGTACTTTCTTATGAGACTAGTTTCTTTGTCTTAACTTTTCTTTCCTTATCTTTCCTTTATTTTATTCTTGTTTGTTTGGGGGTTACGCTCGGTGGAAATCAGGGCTTACTTCTGGCTTCAGGCTCAGGGATCACTCCTGGTGTGCATGGGAGACCATATGGGGCACCAGGAATCAAACCCAGGTCAGCTGCATGCAAGCAAGCACCCCACCCACCGTACTGTCACTCTGGCCTCTTATTTATCTTTTCATGCAGCCATTAAGAGTATCTGTTGAGTGAAATAAGTCAGAACAAGAGGGACAGAAACAGAATCATTCTGCTCATAGTGGGTAGTGGGATATAAAGAAACATAGTAAGGTAGTAACAAATGGCCAAAAGCAACAAAAGCTGGGAAGTCGTCTCCAGATCTCAGCTTATCACAGTGGGAAAACGGGGGGTAAGGGAGTATGGTGGTAGGAGGAAGGAGAGACACTCTGGCGGATGGTGTTGGAACATTATATGAATGAAACCCTATCATTAACAGTAAACCACAATACCTAAATTAAAATAAGTGCAGGACATTAGTCTCATTAGTCTCAGGACATTGCCTTCAAAGCTTTTTATCAAGAGGCCAGAGCTAAAATACAGCAGGTAGGGTGCTTGCCTTGCACATAGACAACTCAGGTTTGATCTCCAGCTCCCTTAAGGTCCCCCAGCCTGCCAACAGTGATTCCTAAATGCAAAATCAAGAGTAACCCTGAGCAGTGGGCCAGGTGTGACGCAAATACTACCACCACCACCACCACACACACCCACCACCGCCAAAAAACAAAACAAAAAAACACTTCCTATTCTAGTACAGCATACAGAGAACTGCACAGATTCTATGTACAAGATGATGTGTTTTCACAGTAAATACACTCATATAGTCAGCAACTCAGATGGTTTCTGTGACTCCTTGTATTGCTTCCTCTCAGCCTGCCACCACAGCAAACCAACAAGGCAGTATTTTCTTGTTACCATTCATATAAAGGAGAAGTATTCAGGATGTTCTCTTCTGTGTAAGGTACTGACTTTTAAAACCAAATCTCCACAAAATCTTGCGTGTGTGCATTTAGTATAGAATGATCAGGTAGGTGTTTAGACAGCCACAGAACATAAGAATACCTGTAATACCTTTTAATCTAGACCTTTTAAGAATACCTTATAACCTTGACCTTGTAAAGCACTAACCATTTTTTGTGTGCTGTTTTCTTTTTTTAAAGTGAGACATGGTCTATGCTGCTCTTTCAGCTATGAAATAGGTATCTACTTTAACTCTGTACTCAGTCCTGCACATAAATAAACATGTAGAAGTTGCCTTTTTGAGTAGGTGGAATAATAGAAGGGATTCGCAAGAAACAGTAACTAGTTAGCCTTACAATAGATTCCCAGTGAGAAGCAGACCAACATGAAAGTGACTTTGTTGGCAGATATATTTGTCAGTTATTTCTAGTTATTTAAAAATTAATATGGCATAGTTATATATGAATGAATTCACTATCTTTTTGTAGGTTAATCTATTAATGTATTATGAGGTTAGTTTAAGGCATGTTCATCTTGTTATTACCACTGCCTTGCTGCATTTGCTTTGATCTCATTTAATTATTTAAGATGTCTTGGAGTAGGTACCTTGGAGTACACAACTTGACCATAAGTTATTTATACCTGATTTCCCCACATTACACAAGATCTGGTGTTAGTTATTCCTATTTGTCAAATCGAGAATGGTTTCATTTCCCTCAAAGTACTTGGTTTCTTCTGAAAAAAAAATTAAAATGTGATTGGTATTCTTTTTCCATTTGTGATAACTTTGATGTAGAATTTTTTAAAAATTAGAATATTAAAAACCTGTAGTCATATGTATATAAAATGTGGAAATCATTTTGTTGGAAATAATAGCATACTGATACTATTTAGAAGCATTCGGTGGGCACACAAGAGGAACTACACTTGACCAATGGGCTGAGGTCTCCAGCTTTGGATATTAGGGACAGTTGAATAAACTGTTGGCACCCAGCACATATGAAGTAATATAATATTTGACATGCCTTAATAGAAATCTATAGTGGGTTCAAAATATTGTATAATCTTTTCATCTATTTTTAAATTGTGTAACTCACCAATAAATTTTGAACAGGCAGTTATTAAATATAATTAAATTACAGACATTCACACAACGGAACAAAGAGAAGCATTTACAGCAAGTGAACAAGAGACTAGTGAGACAGCTAAAGAAAATTTCATTGGGGTAGGGGGTGGATTTTAGTAGTTTCTTTTAAGCATTGGATTCTAGAAGAACAATACAAGCATACAGGAAGTATAACGTGCTTTTTAAAATAAAGACAACTGCTTCTCATCTGTAGTTGCTTTCTTTGTCCCAAAGAACACTTGCTTTAAGCAACACTTCAAGCTCATGCTACCTGGACCCTACTTTCATTAAATTTATGTGGAATACCAGGCTTCTTTGAAGACTGCTTACAGGGAAAACTTTGGCCCAACAAACAGTAAAAGTAAGATTTTTGAAATACACTAAATTCTTCCTGTAAGTTACTTTACTACTCTCTTATAAACAATTCAAGTTAGATGATTAATAGCCTCTTACATTTGGGTAGCACATTATTCTTTAAAGTAGTGGCTTTCAGCCTTCTTATATTTGCAGATGGGCATAAACCTGTGATCAGAAACCACTACTCAAAATTGAGTGAGATAAGAAGTGGTTTTCAGTCTTTTCACACCTGTGGTCCAGGATCATTTCACAAACTGACAGTTGAAAACCATTACTTTTCAAGCACTTTTAGCAGTATGTTATTTGGTGAAAATTCTTATTTTAGCCATTTTCACCTGCAGTAACCAAATTCCCCAGGTTTAGTGGCTAAACAAGGTAAACTTTTTTTTCTTCCCAGTTTTGATGCAAAGAGGTAGTGAAAATCCTGGTAAAAAAAGTCTCTGCCAAGGCTATTTCCATGTGTATCCCTAACTAATATTTTCTTTGGCTTATGTCCAGGAAGAAATTTTTCCTTTGTTTTTTATAAGCCCATGACATTAGAATTTTACTCTTGCGACTTAATTCTAATGAACCCCTTACAGTATTATTTCCAAATAGAGTTCCGTTATGGTTCCTTTCTTAATTGTAGACAGTTTATCAGACACAAAACTTTTCCCCCTCATTTAGTTGAAAACAAGGAATTGTCAGAATTAGCTTCATCTTGAATGTTGCATATTTGTTATAAAAATGGGTTAGAGTCTCTTCCCAGGTGGTGTCTTTGAGGCCTTTAGAATGGTCCAGTGTTTGACACAGCCCTTCGGCTCTCCTACAACACAGCCTCCAACATAACCAGGCTCTCCCAAACCCCTGGAAATAGAATTGTTTACCTTTCTACCAAAAAGTTTGGGAAGGCACTGAAGTCTGCATGTGGTGTGTGCCCCAGCCAGTTTCGAGGAGTCAGTGCCATGAGATCTAAAGTCCTTTAGATAGTGAGTCTATCTAAAAACAAAACAAAACATGTCCGACAGGATCAAGTATGTTTTCTTTGTTGAGGAGCAGAAAATCATTGTTAAAGTGTCGAAGGCACAAGCATAAAGCCAGAAAGCAAAATAAGACAATGAAGCTTTTTTTTGAAGAATAAAAAAGATTTTAATTGGCATAATTTTTTTAGAGGGCCATGGCATCTCCAGATTCCATCCAATGTACCATGTGACCTCTGGGGGCATTGTGGGGCCTAAACCCAGAAGGACCCTAGCACCAGTAGGGTGCCCTGGTGATCCCTAGCGCTGCAGGCCCCACACAGTGCTGCATCCTTGTGCCCTAGCATTGAATCACAGCCCGTGGTCTTGTCAGGAGTGCCTTTGTGCCCTCTGAATATCATTAAGGGAGGCAAATAAATAAATAAATAAATGCAGGAACTGCATGTTCTGGGCTTTTTAGTGAGGTTGCCTTCAAAGTGCTATTGAAAGTAGTGAGGATGGTTAGAGTTTTATTCCTGGCCCTGGGGGTGAGGGTTGGTGGTGGTGGCAGGGGAGGGGATGTCACATCTGGTGGTGCTCAATCTTTCGTGGGCTTGGAGATTGCTCCCAATGGTGCTCAGGGGACCATTCAGCCATTCACTGCCAGGGATCAAACTTGGTTCTCCTGAATGAATGCAAATATATACCCAGCCCACTGAGCTCTCGCTCCACCCCTGTAAACAAAGTCCTTTCTTTTGTGTTTTTTTGTTGTTGCTGTTGTTTTTTGGCCCTCATCCAGCAGTGCTTAGGGCTCACTTAGGGCTCTGTGCTCAGATATCACTCATGGCAGGGTTTGGGGGGACTATATGGGGTGCTGGAATTGAGCCTACATTGGTCATGTACATGGCAAGCACTTCATCAGCTGTACTGTCTCTCCTGCCCTATAAGTAAAGGTTTTAAGAAGTAAATACAAATATAGTGACCAGGCTACTAGAATTCTTACTGTGTTATGATTAAAGTACTAAAATTGTCTCATTTAATATTTTACAGAAGATGATCTGAGAAATATGGGACCAGTAGATGCTCAAGTGTATCTTGAAGAAATGTCTTGGAATGAAGGTTGGACTTTTTAACTTTCTTTGCTTCTGACTACAGTAAGACGTCATTAGGGATTGCTCTGTTAAAAAAAAAAATCCTCAGAATATTTGGAAATAATAAAATCAAATAATAGCTTGGCTTTTTGTATATATATATATATGGGTATTTCTACATTTCCATTCTAATATTATTATTGATATCCTCTCTTATGACTCACTTATTGTTCCAGCCTGATTAGATATTAGGTCATATGGTTGTCTTTTAAAATTTGTCTTTGGTTTTCTCTCCAGCTGTATAATCTGTAAAATAAAGCCAAAGATCAATTATTTTTAAGCCTTTTAATGTTGCATATGAGATGAATTCATATTAGACTTTTTGTTTAGCTTGTTTCTTGATATGGAATAATCAGACTACTATGGAAGGACTTTTAATATTACAATTGTCTACTAGTAGTTTGATTTTTATCCTCACTTCTCTATCGTGACTTGGGAAGAAAAGAAAAAAGAAAAAAAAAACTTTAATTACCTACCACAAAATAATCTTTTTCCTTTTCTATTATAGAGTTTGGGGTTTTTAGACTCACAAGCTATGCTCAAGAAGCTAGGTGGCACTTCCAGCTATACTTAGCCGACCAAGCTAGTGTTGAATGCCAGGGCTCAAGGATGCTGTTCTGCATGGGTCCAGTGGTGTCATGGACCATGAGGGTCATCCTGATGATGCTGCATCTGCTGGACTTCACCCAGTGATATCCAAGGGCTTATACTCAGCAGTATCTGGGAGGCCACAGGCTACTTGGGATAAAACTCAGGTTGAAGGCAAGCCAGACATTGTGCCTTAATCACTGTATTATATCTCCCTGCACCTTATTACTACAATTTTAAAACTAGAATTTTTTTCTTTTTCTAATGGGAGCCAGCAGTAACACACTTTCGTGTTTTTTTTAAATATAATTTTTCTATTGCCTAGATTTTTTATCTACTCTTGGTCACCAAGACAGATTCCCGAAGAATCCTGTAAAAAATTACTAGTGAGATTTAAGTAGTGTAGACAGGTAGGTTTTAAGAAAGTCCATTCTTCCTGAAACCAAATTTACTGGGGTATTTTTAAATGGCAAATTCTTACTTGGGCCATAAGTAAAATTGACTCTGAAGGGGGAAATCATGATTTGGCCCATAGACCACTCTGCTTCTAAACTAACAAATTAAATCCTAGAGAAGAATTCTTATGTGCAGTAATTGATTGGAAAACTTGAAGCTTATTTGACTGGAAATCCCAGTGGTGGTTCATCCAAGAAAACATAAAGACCTACTGCTGTGAAAATAGAATGCACAAGTGACAACAGGTTTTTACTTTTGATTCATGAATGGAACAGAATATAACATTTTCCAGGGAGATAGAATCAGCTTAATGTACATAAGTAGATAAATCTACTATTCTTTTACCAATCATTACTTGTGTCTATGTCAACTCTTGACAAATTAAGTTTCCTGATATGACTAATTTATGATTTCTGATAAGTGAAAAGTTTAAAAATTGGCTTTTATAAATCTGCCTCAATCACCTTTAAAAAATAGTAATATTTTTTAAAACTTTAGAATATATGTTGCTACATGGATGCACGAGGGATTATCATGCTAAGTGAGATGAGTCAAGTGGCGAGGGACAAATACAGAATGATCTGTTACAATCTGTTACAGTGAAATATAAAGAAACATGATAAGGAATAACAGTTGGCCAAAAAAGAATCTGAGACTTGGACTACAGAACTGAATTTACCAAAGGAATCAGGCTGAAAGGGGTGGAGGGATGCTGACACTGGTGGCCAATGTAATGTTAAACATTGTTGTCTGAATTTGTAACAATATAATAAATCACGGTGCCAAAACAAAAACTGGGGGAAAAAACCAAGAATATAGATTGCTGGGCCAGAGTGGGAGAATAGCCAGTAGGACATTTGCCTTGCAGTCACCCTAGGTTTGATCCCCAGCATTCTACACAGTCCCCTAGCCCTCCAGGAGTGCCTTGAGCACAGAGCCTGGAGTTAGCCCTGAGCACTGCTCAGTGGGACAACCCCCATCCCTCGCCCTGCCAACACACAAAAAAAGTGTGGGTTGTTGTTTCAAGCATCTGTTTGATGAAAGAATACACAAGCTATAAGTGAAAATGCCAACGTATTGAAAGATACAATATGAAATCATGTTATCTAAGTTTTTTGTCCTTAGGATTGATTCCCTACACTGACAGCAAAGATGTAGAATAATCCCAGTCACAGTCAATGAATCAGTTAAAAACAGCTGTAGTAAATCTTAGGAAGCGTAAAATGTCCTTAGATCCTTAAATTAAGATTATTTTATCATTGTAAAAATGAAAATCCCTGTATATATGAGAGAAAATGCTGAGCAATAGTTGCATGCATTAATCTTGTAGGATTTAAAAGTCAATCACGTGGGGCTCGAATGATAATATAGCGGGTAGGGCATTTGCTTTGCATGTGGCTGACCCGGGTTCAATTCCCAGCATCCCGTATGGTCCCCTGAGCACCGCCAAGAGTAATTCCTGAGCGCAGAGCCAGGAGTAACCCCTGTGCATCGCTGGGTGTGACCCAAAAGCAAAAAAATAAAAAAAAAATTAATAAAGTCAATCATGTAAGTTTTACAGTTTTGAATAATTCCGTGTGATTGGAAACAATATGGTTGGCAGATTATTAAATAAAGAGAAACATCAACTGGGCAAGTTGAAAAAAAAAAGATTCCTTAAATATGTTTCCAAATTACTTTAGAATGTGAATGTAGAATAGGAAAAAGTGACCAAATCCTGTGATAAATGAAGCCAAACTGCCAGCCTCTTGATTCAAGGATAATATAAAATGTCATGTCCTACTAAGAGACATACGTGAAGTGAGTTCATCTTTTCCTCTTTTGGTTTGTTTGTTGTAAACTTGGTCATTTTGTGTATCTTCATTTTAATGCATTTAAAATTACAATTCTGGAGAATTTTTCAGTTTGTGAAGTTATGATAGAGTAAGAAAAGTAACAAGATGTGAGCTTTTAGTGAGCACTAATATCTGGAATCATCTCTGACAACTCCACAGTAGCCTGTGGTGGCCTCCACATAATTTACTGAACACAAATCACCTCAGATTGTTTCTCCATGTTCACTGAAGTGGTAAAAAGAAAAAACCAAGAGCAGACTTAGCTTTAGAAAACCACTGATAGGAATATGTACATTTTTAGATAAAATAAACAGTTCACTTTAAAAGTAGTTTTTCCTTTGAGGTTTGTTTGTTTTTATGGAGAAGGCATGTGTTGAAAAGTAAAAAGCAGGATTGGCTGAATGCATTCATGTTTTCCTTTTTGATAAAAAGAAGTACATATAAGGCAACTTTTAAATAACTTTTTAAAAAAAATCTAGAGAATTAAGATTTTCCAAGAAAATCTGGAAATATAAGACAGTCTGAGTTCTTCTCCTTTTACTTTGCTATGCTATGTTTCCTACTTTTTTTTGTTCTTTCATTGATTTACTGGCATTAATGAGATCTCGGTGTTAAAAAATAAAAAGGTGGCTGAGGGCCAAGGAGATCACTTAATAGGCTGGGTAACATGCTTTGTACATAGGAAAGCTCAAGGTTCCATCCCCAGAAACTCACGCTCCTTAGAGCGCTATTGGGTTTGATCCCAAAACAGGGAAAAGGAAAAGAAGTTTTAGCTGAATGAAGATGCATGATTGATTATACTAAGTCATGTATTTTGAGATTTGGTTTAAATCTGCAGGAACCCAGGAGGTGAGGATGAGGCAAATGTGAAGAGGCAAAATAATGTCGTCAGTAATCACTTTTGTAGTCAATTCTCAGTGAATGGAATGACCACGAGGTCAGAGATTCTTTCAGAGTGTACATATCCATTTCAGCTTCCCAGGATGATAGATTTAATAATGTCAAGCACTAGCAGGCTAAAAGTTACACCAAATAGACACACACACACACACACACTCAAAATCATATACACATACCCCATACATCTAAGTCTACTACTGTGAGAGCTTATATGTTAGGAGTCAGCATTTTTAACAAAATGTGATATTAGAACAGGTATTCAGTGTTGATGTTGATAAATAGTGAAGTATATAGCAGGTTTTTTTTAATCAGCATAAACTGCAAAAGTATGCTATTTAACAAATAAACAGCTCTGTTTTGGATTTTGTTTTTTAAACTAATATTTTAGACTAGGATTACTGAGAAGAATGTAAAACATGAATCAACAGAAGACATCAAAGAAATTCCATTTTTAAAACTTTATTGATTCAATTCTGTTTCATTACTGTTAATAGTGGTTTCCTATACAAAAAATTCAAATAAATTTTATACTCCCAGCATCGTTTTATATTCCCAGTTATATGTTATTCAAAGCTTTATTAATTTTATGTTAATTTTGTTCTGTTTTTGTTTGGGGGCCATACTTGGCAGTGCTCAGGATTTACTGAAAGCTGTGAGCTCAGGTATCATGCCTGGCAGTTGTGGGGAACTATATAGGATCGAACCCAGGTCAGCCACAGGCAAGGCAGATACCCTGCCTACTGTGCTCTTACTCTAACGTCTGATTTTATTATATGTATTTTCAGCAGTACTAATATTATTGTTCAATACTTGCTACACTGCAGCGCACCAACCATGAGGATGCCAAGATTCCTCCACTACTATTCCTGTGACCATCCTCAGATCACAGTTCTATTGACCATATTTCAGGGTTATTTTCACTGGAGATTATATAATTTCTTGGTTTTTTTCTTTGTACTTTACATATGAGATTATGTGGTATTTATCTTTTTTTGCTTTCTGACTCATTTTTTGGACAACCGCTCCCTTTTTTGCCACAAGGCACTAGCATATATTATTTCTGATCTTTGATACAGCCCATCTCACTGATGGGACAGGATACCTCATTGTCACTTCTATTTGCATTACTTTGATGATCAGTAATGATGCGTAAATTTTCCTACCCCTGTTGGCCATTGTTAAGGAATTTGATCATATGCTCTCAACTTTGGGAAGGATGGAAGTGGGGAGATGAGACACACTTGGTGGTGCTCAGGAATCAGTCCTGGCAGTGCTTGGAGGACTAGATGCAGTACCAGGGATTGAACCGAGGTCTGCCACATGTAAGACAAGTGTCTGAACTGCTGGACCATCTCTATAAAACCTCTCTCTCCAATATTTGATGGGGCTGTTTGCTGTTTTTAATTATTGAGCTTGGAGAATGCTTTATATATCTGGTATTAGCCTAGTCTGATGTGTGACATTTGAACATCCCAATCAGTGGGGCACCTTTTTAACGTTAGGACTCATTTCATTTTCAGTACATAAGATTGTTAGTTTGATGTATTTCCATCTGTTTATTTCTGCTTTTGATTTACAGCTTAAATCCATCTCCCTAAGTTTAGAAACACTGCCCCTATGTAAATTTTTTTCATTTAAATTTGATATTTGCAGAGTTTATTTTATAATTTCTATGGAATAAATTACATTTCTGAAAAGGTATTAATAAAATCAAAAATAGTTGACACACCTTTTTTCTTTTGCAGATGATCACTCTTTCTCTCTGAGTTGCCGATGTGGTGGAACATATAGTATTTCCAAGGATGAAGCAGAAGTTGCTACCCTGATTTCCTGTGATACATGTTCACTTAAAATAGAATTACTTCATTATAGCTAAAATTGTTTACTAATTGGAACCTTTTAAAAATAATTCAGACATGGTGTGAGTCCAATTCAACTTTGTCTATTCAGGCAAATTATTAAGGTAGGGGGGAGTGGTGGGGATGTGGTAGGACTCCTCCTTATCAGCTATTTACAGAGAAAAAAAATGGTTGCTAAACATAGGCCCATCTCAAATTAATAAAAAGTTCATTATTTCTATTTATTTTTATAAATTTCCTTTAAAAAAAACTTGAATTAAATAGTTAAATCCCAGCTATTTATTCTTCTCTTTGATACAATGTGCTTTTTTATTAAATAAATAAGCATGTTCTTCTGAGTCATATTTATATTTTTGTTAATTTTATTTGGGGCCACACCCTGAGGGTTTTACTCCAGACTCTGCACACAGGGGTCACCTCTCTCTGGCCATTCTCAGGGGATCAGGTATGTTGCCAAGGATTAAAATTAGGTCAGCCACATGTAAGGTAAATGCCCTATCCACTCTATTATCTCCTGGTCCCCTTTATTTTTAATTACTAATGTCATTTTTTTTCCCTAGGTGCTAAGCTACAAGCTTTCTGTACACCTATCTCTAATAAAACCAAATTGTAATCTTGTGCCTAGTTCTTGCATAGTAAAGGACACATATGGATAGTCTTGGGACTATTTCAGTTAATAATAAAGATGACAAAATGACAAATATAGTAAGGATAATTTTGGAATTAGAAGATGACTCTAATCCTCACTCTGTATTTATGCATAGGGCTCATGAATACTGCCTTCTTCAACTTTTAATTGATTTAAGAAATGACAGTTAAGAAGATTAATTTGAAATAGGCACATTATGTTTTGTTTCAGAGTACTGAGAATATTAATGCCTATATTCATAAAGACCTGTTGCATTCCTTTTATGATAAAATGTACTTTAATAATACTAATTTTAAGACTACAGATTTTATTTTTCATATAGTATTTATGTACAGTATAAGTCAGATGTCAAATAACTTTCCAGGGATCTTTTGGGGAATTTCTGAATTCCTTTACCAGCAAAATGAGTAAGATGAGCATATGATTTGTGATTTAGCAACATTTTTTCACTGAATTATTTGTTGGATTAGACTTTTAAAATGTGATCTGTTTTCCTTTCAGTGTAGTAGTCAGATTCAAGTACCACTCAGACTTGAGTCTTGCATATTCAAGTAGATTACTCCCATTTTATCTATAAAACTGAAAATTAAAAATATCAGGGAGTCCATCGAAATTTTCTCCCTTAAAACAGTTTCATACTTATTAATGTATATAACTTGTTTTGGACTGCATTTTAATCCATATTTTAAATTGATATATCTTTCACAATGCTATTGCTTATTTTTTTACCATTGAAAAATAAAAAAATAACTAAAACTGAATAGCAAATAGTTTATTAGTACATGGTTTCGTGGCAATAATAAATTCATTTGAACAGGATATAATAATATCAAAAAAATGCTTTCTAATCATCAGAAAATCGATGACCGTTAGGGCTGTCACGTAGAAATCCAAAATCATTCAGAGGCCAAATCTGTGGAATGAAAATGTGATTGAATATAAGTAATACTATTTAATCATATTCTTCATTCACTCTTCCTTCTGTGTCAAGATAATTAAGCACTTTCTCCTTACTTTTCAGTAATAGTCTTCCCTACAGGAAAATAATGCTTTAGATAGCAAATCTGTATACAAGGTTGAATTGAAAAACTTATAACTAGGATGGTTTGTACTTAATAGTATTCAAGCAAATAATTATTCTCAATTATCCAGTCCACTGAGGTAAGATGTAATTAATGTTGATAGCTATGCTGGCTAACAGGTCCATAAACATAGTCATCGGAATAGTTAAACCCACCAATACCTCAAAGATTTCAAAGTTTATTTTGAAAAAAACAAGATTTTTTTCCCTAAATTCATAGAAACCTATATTTTTAAGTAGAAAATGATACCTTAAAAAAGATCCGTCCTCTTATTAATCCATAGGGGATAGGTCCATAGTACCTTGAATCTGTTGAATTTTGTAGATTATCACCTTCTAACCAAACATGACCTCTTGGCACCTAGAATTAGAGGTGGGGGAAGCATGTCTTTTGGAGGCAGGGGAAAATGTTCTTACATACACTCTTTTATAAAAAGGATACCACATGACTTACAATAATAAATTTTTATTCATAAAGTAACTTTTAAAAAATATTTACAGGTAATACTAAAATTTCAACCTTTTAAACAACCTTTCGCTTTCTTGCCACATGGTTCCCAAACAATTTGTTACACAAACCTCCCCCCACTCCGCCCTCCCCTCCACCTCCACTGAGGTTATAAGAGATAAAAACATTGTGACAGGGTCATTAATTTAATAGACTTCAAGAGAGATTGTTGGGAATCTACTGAAAATGGGCCCTCCTGTCTCAACAGCAGCATAAGCAGGGCAGCCACTCACTCACCAATATCCTGGGGCCAGTACCAAGGCCAGACCTATTAGAATGCTCATGATGAACTAAATGGTAATTGATTGTGACATCAATTACAAATAATCTCATCATCTTATTCAAGTGGGCTTGTCAGAATTCTAATTAAGATCCCCATTATGCCTTTGTGCAGGCCATCTTTAATGCATTATACTTCAATAATGACCATCAAGAACTAGAAGGACCTATTATAAAATCATCACTTGTAAAATTAATGATGCTGACCTTCTCTATAGAAGACCCTTACTCCTATATGTCCATATAGATTCTATGCTAAATAACAAGTTTAAGTCTAGAACATAGCAGTCTGCTCAGGAAAAAATAAAACATCATTAGAAACATTTGCCCATTAATATCTACCCAATATCAATTTCAGAATATAAGCAATCTTTAAAATTACATTTCAAAAGTTATTTGTGTTTTTTTACACAATAATGTTGATTACTGAATAGGTAAAAATAATGTACTGGGAGCAAATTTATTTTTACTATTATTTTGATAGATTTTTTTAGTTGAGAGCCTTACATAAAGAAATGTATTTTGTTGAGTTTATTTTTGTTCTGTTTTTGGTCATGGGACGACACCTGGCAGTACTACCATTCATTCCTGGTTGGGTGCTCAGGGCTCACTCCTGGGATGCTCAGGAGACCGTATCTAGTAGTGCTGGGAACCAAACTGAGAAAAGCACTATGCAAGATAAGTGCCTTTAATCTTGTACTATCTCTTTGGCTCTTTCTGTTGGTTTTAAAATGTGACTGCAGTTTTTTTTAAATGATAGAAATCCTTTTATAGACTATTTTTAGAGTAGTTATAGGTTCAAGGCGAGTTCAAATGTTTCCCAACTATTCCTTTCCCCCACACCCCCTGCACCCTTCCACCCAATATCGACATCCTCCAAAATGTTAGTCATTCCCTTTAAACACATCCTCATTGCCCAAAGTCCATAGTTACCTTCAAGTTCACTCTCAGTTTGATACACCCTGTCGGTGTGAACAAAGTATAATGACATGTATCCATCATTAGAGTACTACAGAAGGTATTTTAATGTCCTAACCATGAGTTGCAAATTTTCACCTACTTTTAGAAAAATTTTACAAGCATGTAAAACTAAGCACTTTACAGCAGATTACATAACTTTAGCATATACCATAAAGAATTATTTGTCTAAAGCCTTCAGGTCAGTCATTTTCTTCTAGTATATGTATTCACATTAGATATGTGTAGAGAAAGAGCACAAGTCTCCTGCATTTATTTTAGATAACTTTTTTTTCTAATTTATCACTTATTTTAATGCTGCCAAGGTCCAATTCATCTATTATGTTTCATGCATTTTCAATTCTAAGAAAACTTTATTCATCCCCAAGTCCTGAAAATATATCCTAAATTTATGCTACATGTCTTGAAATTTTGGTCGGTTATTTAGATTACATAATACATGGTGAAAGAAAATTTGTAGTATGTGCTTTTTTGTTCCCATCTTCCTCTTATTTTAGAAAACATGATTTTAAAATATATTTAACTTCCCCGTTTGACATACTGAATATCTTGTTTTTCAAGTTTTATATTTGTATACTATATATCCATCTTTAATTATGGTAATGTATTACTGCCTTCACATATTGGTATCATTTCATTTATTATATAAGGATTTTCCAACATTATATTTTCATCACTAACTTTCCCCCAGTCAAAGCTTAGAGTATTTAAGTATTTTGCCTATTTCACAGTAGATAATTGTTTTTTTACTTAAGTTCAAATCATTTCAAAGGAAGGGTAAATACTGTTCTTACTAGTAATTACTTTAGCCAAGTTAATTACTAGTAAATAAACTACTATAATAAATTACTAGCAATAAACTAGTAGTATAGTAACTTATATATTGGTCCTTTATATTCTATTGTGAAACCAAATTTTCATCTGATATTTTGTGAAACATTCTTTAGCATTTCTTATAGGATTGCTGGCAATAAATTCAACTTTTGTTTGAAAATACATTTTTTTAAAAATTGAATCATTGTGAGATAGTCACAAAACCTTCATGTTTGAGTTTCAGTTATATAATGATCGAACACCTATCCTTCCACCAGTGCACATTTTCCACCACCAGTGCCCCCAGCATCCACTCCCCATCCCATCTCTATGGCAGATAATTTCCCCCCATATGCTCTGTAAAATCTTATCACGCCGAAGGTTGTGTGTTCACGGGCTCACTGGATGGCACTGTCTCACTGCCTGCATTTGGTGCTCTTGAGCCATTGTGTGTGGCCTGGATCGGAATGGCTGTTGGCCAAGGGCAGACGGAAGAAGAAACGAGGGCCAGGCTGGTCTATATCAATAGTAGTTTATTCCAATCCTCTTCACTCCTGTCTTTCTCTGCCTCCTTCTCTCCTGGGCCCCATCTTGGAACCTCTCTCCTTCTGGCTCTGACTCTGGATCTCTGAAGCCCAAGCTCTCTCGCTTCTGACTCCCCTCTCCGAGCTTACGTCTTAGTTTATATAGCAGTCACATGAGGTAGTGACATAAAGGTGGGTTGAATACTGACGAATCAACAAAGAGAGGTAAGACCACTCCTCCAGGAGATTAACTCAAGGATAAAATCTCATCTACAGAGATTACTTCAGATTACTAGGAGATCCGCTCAAGGGTGGGATCCCAACAAGGGTGTGTTCTTCCCTCAGTAATCTACTTAAATAGTTGTAATAAATCTACTTCTAATATTTCTAGCAATGCCATTCTGTATGAGCACAGTTAGAGATATGAATTTAGTTTGGTTCTTCCTGAGAACATCTCACTATACATTCCACAGTCCTCAGGCCAGGTTAAACTTCCTAGCTCCAGCAGGGTCCTATTCTCGTTGTTACTTACTTTTGGATCATGACAGCATTTGTCCATGATCATGCCCTCAACTTATAGTTGAGTATCGTGGCTCTTTGGCCTGGTCCATTTCGATGCCAGGGTAGCTCACTGCTTGCCCTGGGTCCATTCAGTCCCTTGTCGGACCCTGCTTTTGGGGTGCTAGGAACTAAGGGCAACTGAGTCAAGAAATCAGATGCCCAGGAGTAAATATTATTCAGAGTCAATCAACTCCCAAGTTACAAAGCATAATATTAACTGTCTTCCTGTGTTCACAAAGAAAGGACATTGCTTACAATACTAGTTCAGTGTCCTTAGACGGATGTGACCTGACAAACCTAAGCTACCTGAGGAAAGACAAAAGAGTGTTATCCTACAATGCTCTACTTTTGAGCATTATGGTTTGCAATATAGATACTGAGAGGCTATCACGTTTGGTACTTTATCTACTTTCAGCACACATCTCCCATCCCAAACTATCACTTAGTGATCTCTTCTATATTCCAGCTGCCTTCTCCCCCAGCTCATGAGGCAGCCTGCCAAACATGGAGCAATATTCCTGGCACTGTCTCTACTGTACTTGGGTATCAGTCTCATGTTATTTGAAAATACCTTTAGTTTTACTTTTGGAACCTTCAGTGTAGAATTCTAGATTAACTGCATTTCTTCCTCTTTTCCTCCAAACACAATGGTTTCATTTTTGCCTTGTTTGGTTTGGTTTGGTTTTTGGCTTTAGGGCTATACTAGCTGTGCTCGGGGTTTACTCCTAGCTTTCTGTTCAGTGATTACTCCTGGCAGTGCTTGAGCATGAACTTGGGTAGGCTGCATGCAAGGCCACGTACCTTAACTACATTTGTGAAATGCTGTTTCCTAGCTTAACTTTCTTTATATTAATTCAGGAGGATCTATTTTGTGATTTTTTAAAACTCTGGACATAAAAGTACCACTTTTTCTATTCATTGCTGTTTCCATAATATTTATGCAAATTTATTTAAAATGTGTGTGAATTTTCCATGAGTTACTGGAGTCATCCATTCTCCCCCCACAGATACTTGTCTCCTTTCACTTCCTATACTTTCTATTCCTGTGTCTTCAAATTTGCCGGTCTTTTCTTTGTAGGTCGAAATACAATGTAAAAACTACACAATGATTTTTTTTTCTAGGAATTTTGACTTTTTATACTTACTGTTTTTTTTCTCATTATATTCATCCTCTAGGCCTAGGGAGTAGTGACCCCAGTTAGGGTCGCATACTTTTTCTAAAATGATTTTTAAGTGATAGTCTTTGTTATTAGTAAATGTGTGATTTTTATCCCTGTTTTGTACACCTATAAATTCAGGGTATGTAAAATTGTTTTTGAGCAAAAAAGAGCAAGGAAGTGGGAAAAGTTTAAATTAGCCCATTCTACATCAATTTTTTTTTTTAATGTAGGAGTTCTGCTATTTATTCAGCCACTGATTAGCTTGATTGCTTTGGGCATGAACTCCACCTTACTTTTTTTCCATAGTTTTATTTATTTATTTATTTTCTTTTTATATTTATTGAATCACTGTGAGAAAAGTTACTAAGCTTTCAGGTTTAAGTCTCGGTCATACAATGATCAAACACCTTTCCCTTCACCAGTACTCATTTTTCACCACCAAGAACCCCAATATACCCCCGTCCCAGCCCTCCCAATGCCTGTGAGGTGGATGATTTCCACTTAACTCTTCTCTACATTGATTACATTCATTATTTTG